TTCGATGAACCTCTGTTGACCAGCGCTCCGGTGAACAAACGCACGGTTCCTATTTATAAACTGTGGCCGCATATCACCACACGCTATTGTAATTATTTTGGCAAATTAAAGAATTATTGCATGTTGTCTATTGTCTCGCGAGGACTGTCATTAAGATAGACATCAGCAGCCACTGAAAACATCACGTAGATCACCGTGACAGGTTTGATTGTGTTGGAGATGCACCAGAGGACGCGCTGTGAAAATAAACAACTCTATATTGAGTCATGTTGTAGGAATATATCAGATCTGCAGCACAGAATGAAACTTGTAGTATTTCTGCTCCAGCAGGAGAGAAAGGAGAAAAAAAGCGCGTGCTGATGTGAACAATTGCCGGATTTTCTGCGAATCAAATCTTTGCATATTTTCCTGTTTGGAGCAGATGTATACCAAACAGTGGTGACCCCCACTCTCCTTTTCAATGGGGCTGGGGTGATGTGCGCCGCTGCTAGGTGGAAACTGGTGCTCCTCAATCTCAAACATTAGCGAGAATGCCAGGAATTCAATTGTGTGCAGGCATTGGGAAAAATGCAACCTGCGTGTGACTTGACCGGCCGGGTCGCATCGCCGGTGCCCCGTGGAGCATGCAGGCTGTCATACCCGGAACGAGTCCAGGTACGCTCCTGTGTCTCTATGCGCGCGCGTGTGTGTGTGTGTGTGTGTGAGACGAAGACGAAGCGAGGGTCAAATGTGTTCCTCCTACAATGAGTTGACCTCATTCGTCTTGTTGATTATAATCTGTCATCTCTGAGAGCACAACAAAGGATACAATCACGGTTATTCAGCGCGCGCTCAGCGGAAAAGACGAATAAAAGCAAAAGCGCACGTTGAGCTAAACCTTTTCACCTCGTGCAGAAATAACCGAGAATTAGCAGAAACATTTATCCATCACCTGCACAGCTTTCTCCAACACTCACACACATATTTCATGTTAGTAAGTGTGGCAGGAGCTGCAGCTGTTGCTGTTATGTTGCATGATCTTTAATACCACAATTAGATATTAGGTTATTAATGTATTCCTATATTAATACATGAGAAATTAGCTCATAATTTCCACATATGTTTATATTTTTTTAGCTCACAATAACCATAATAATTCTAAATGTTTCCAGCTGCATCACGCAGATATATATGCCAACAGCTCATTTTTTACAGTGTGTTTCCAGTGGCACAATTCAGATATTTGCATGTAAAAACTAATTTAATAATTTAATCAGCTATTTAATTTTGTCAGTAGTGGCCTAAATATTCAAATCCCCCGAGGTACACAATATTTCATAAATGAAACAACATCCAGGCTGACTCAGCGTGCATCTGCTGACTTTATCATGAGTGTAAAAGATTTTAAAGCAGGCCTGTTGGAGCCATGAACCTCGGCTGGCCTTATCTCTGTCAGTCCCTGAGACATCCTGTATGCAGGCCCATTGTTCCAGGCCGAGCGGCTGAACTGCCAACCTCTCTGCGCAAGTGCACACCTGCCGAGTCCACACAGATATACGTTCAGTTTTACTTTTATTTTTACTTTTGCAGAAGAGATAGGTCTAAAAGTTTAACAGAAGAAAAGTATATGTGTGTATCCATGCGTGTGTGTGTGAACGCATGTGTTGTTATGGGGCTGTACTCACAGCCTCCATTTTCCTGACAAACTAAAAGGAAAGTTAAAACAAATAAAGTGCAAAAATCTGCCATCACGAATTATGTATAGGCACATCTGTGATATCAGGTGGGCATATGCTAATTATAAAAAGCACATATTTCTAAAATTATAAACAAGACGAGCCTTTTCTTTTTGTTAAAATAAAATAAAACAAAATAAAAAGACAAAAATAAAAAATAAAATTGTTGTGTTAGCTGATGTTTTACCGCCTAGCATTAAAACCACGGTCTCCATCCCCGGGTCATAGTTTATGTAAAGGTTAGTTACACTCGCCGAAACATAAATTCGTGTAAAACACTCGTATTTATTATTTTTGGAGGAGTGTTTAGGATACACTTGCCTTTCAAACGCGCCCTTATCTCCTTATTGTTTACAAAACATTAATGTGAGGAAGCAGAGAATGTACACTACAGCTCAGCTCCCTGTGCACTCAGGAGGATGGACAAGTGTCAGTGTTGCTCCGGCTGGGACCGAGACTGTTGATGAGCCCCGCAGCTGATGGCATTTTTCATTTCATGTTTTCTATCACTGCAGATTCACTCAGACTTATCAGATGCGCAGAACTTGTTTGTGCTCATTCATACCGACGAAAGGCTGCTGGAGAAACAGAGGAAGGCGCCTAGTTTATACATATGTCGACTGTTCAGCTCATAATGGAAATATTTAGGTGTGATTATGGTTTCATGCAGAATTTGCGCACAAGTAATGGAGTCTGGTGATATGACCAGTTAATATAAAGTTAGGAAAATTGATCAGTTGTTAGGAAGTTATACAAATATATATGTATCATTTGGATTTCAGCAACAGCTAATATTAATTATATTAATATTAATATTAATAAAAGAAAAAACTGTAATGAGTCATTTAAAAGTGCATCACGAGTATTTTATTTTTTGCTGAAACAGCCATTTGAACTTTGTGACCTTTTCGCCTTTTTAAAATATATTAAACTACTTAAAGAAATGAATTAATTTGGCATTAAAATGGGTCAACAAGTTTGAAGGCAAGTTACACACACACACACACACACACAGAGAAAAAATAGCTAGCATATTTAAAAAAGGGTATTAAAAACGCTTTGTTAATTATTGCTGCGTTAATTTGTAATTTTAATAAATATATGCGCGTTTTTATGTGTTCCCTTATAATAAAATCCCAAATATTGTTGCGCTCGTTGCACCAATGTTGCCCCATTTATTTGAATGTAAGTCAATGCGTTTAAAAGATAATACACTTTAAAAAAGTTCCAGTAATCTGCAGGTTTATATGTATGCAAATATCACAATTTGAAAATCCTTTTTAAATGCATGTCCAAAAAACCCTTTCACTATTTGGAACACAGCCGCACCCTAATTAATTAACCAACAATCATGTCCTTATGCTAATGGCAGCAGTAGCTACAAGGGTTAATGGGATTCTAAAAATAAACCTACGTCATCAGTACTCTACCACTGCTACAAATATGTCCTTTAATCAGGTTGTTGATATGCAGGGGTGTGTCCGCTTTTTTTTGGTTGCTTTTGGATGATGGGCCCGTGTTTGACAGCCCACAGGGTGGATCAAGGTGAGTGTGGCTGCACCTCCTGGCGCTCCTCAGTCATGTTGGGAGACCCTGGACTTTACTGGACTTCAGCTTTAACTCCGGCGCCAAATGCGTCTGACCTCTGAAAGGGGGGATCCCACAATCTAATATACTGTGAGCTATTAGATGTTACAAAGCCATACTCTGTAATTGGTCAGCTTTTAAAACAATAAGTGAGTGCGCACGATAGCTGTGGTGAGCTGTCACAACAGTAAACCTGTCGATACAGCGCGTAAAGTGTAAAAGTCAGAGCCATATGGCACTAATATCTCATAGCTGTGATGATATGATAGTGATTAAAGGAGGGACGGGGCTGAAATCACTCGTCAACATGTCTCTCCCTCTTCTGGGACGCGTCGACGTAATTCAACAGTCTCACACTGAAACACAACAAAGAAGGAGGAGCTGTCTGACTGAATTTATACTTTGCTCCTCCAGAGATGAGTCTCTGGCAGGACGTCTATATTTTAGCAAATGACTCTTTGATAGATCCGCGTGGGATGAGTGGATTCCTCTTAATGTGTGATGTCACGTTTTGTAACGTTATCAAAGGTTATGAGCGCATCTGAGGCCGCTTTTCTTTTATTACACTTCCTGTCTTTGTTGATGTTATTTCCTACATGATTCTGTTTTATTTAGTCGACAAGTTAACTGCATTAATATTGTTGTTTTTCTTGTTGGCAGCCCTCACAGTTAAACGAATTCAAAGCAAAAGTAATCTAAAAATACTGCCAGCTCTGTCATGATAGCACAGATTATTATCATTGTCATTAGAATTAAATATTATTATTTTTTTGTTAGTGCTGTTGTTATTTAGGGAACTGTAAGAGCACATTTAGTAAAAAAAAAAAAAAAATATGGCAACCTCTTAAATTCTTGTTCATGATCACACATCCAAAATAGGGAGAGGAACATTTTGCATTTGATCACGTCTGTGTTTTGGTGCTTTTGTCGTGCTTTGAATTGAGCCGTCAAAAAAGTCTAAGAAATAAAATAAATAAAAATCGAATAAAATAATATAGCCTACATTTGGACGGTTAGCGTCATGCTTTGCCATTTTTTTCCTCTGAAACGTGATCATTTGTAAATTATATTAAATACAAATTATATTCAATATTAAATGAAAAATAAAATTACCGTAAAGTGACCTAAGAGGAAATATTAATGATGCGCAATGCATGTTTTTGCAGAGCACTTTTGCAGTAACAGCCTAAAGACATTTACACAGAACACATAAAAATAGCCAGACATCAAATCTATAAGTGTTAATGCACATTATTATTATAATTTGTATTTTTATTCTTCTTCTTCTTATTTTTTAGTTTGTACTGTACATTAGAAGTTCTGTATTTTTGTCTCACTACTGGAATAAAATTGCCCTGAATAGATTAGCATAAATTGCATTAAATGGTTAGAAATTAATTACATATATGTCAATATTTATATAAAGGCCAGACATGACGCCTGAATATGAAACATGTTACGCGGTGTACAGTGCAGTAAGTGCAGATCCAAACCTCACAACACTGCACAGTGATTTACCTAACATTATTATATCTTTAAGATCCCTAAATAAACTATAAAAACTACCCTATGTTAACAATAAAATAATTTTACGTTGCGTTATCCTCAAGAGTTGTTACTTTTGGTTGCTGTTTGATTAAAGCCAACAGTGGTTACCCCAGCCTAAAGCATAAAACAGATTACGTCACGACCACTGTGTTACTTTAAGAAATACAAGTTTATTAAGAAATTCACAAACCTAGAAAAGAGGGAAAAGTGCTAATTAAAATGAAACATGGCCCCAACATGAATTAAACAATATAGCTAATCACGTTTATAAAAAAATAATAATAATCAGACAGATTAACAAAACCTGGCACTGGCTGGCGTCATATTGGAAATGAAATCATACATACATGTGTGGGATCAATAAAAATAGGAAAAACCCTGAACTGTATTGTTGGCAGTGTGATGGATCTCTACCCACACGTTCACCTACAAAGATCACAACTATGACAGGAGGGGAGGTTTCACCATGCAGGCCTCGCTCAGTGCAAGTTACTCAGAGGGCCAAATTGAGCTCTGATTCAATTACATATTCAAGCACTGACTTAATTAGGGCATCTTATGTTCACGTTTCATTTGGCAAGAGTTAGCAGGAGTCGTGCGTAAAGTTGAGAGAAACCATTACGCACAGCAATAACACAGCTGAAGCAATGTCAGCAATGTCTATCCCCGTGAAAATGAAAAGCTTTTCATAGGCACAATTATGACTACAATACCGAGTTATGGTCATCAGTCCAAATGTAATACAGACGCATGAAATGGCTCCCAGAGGTTGTGCTACCTGATGTGTCCTGATGACTTCTTTACCTCCAGATTCCATTTTGTAAAACTTTCTCAACATCAACTCGCGCATACCTCCCCAATCGGCATCTACGGGTGTCAGCTGGACCCACACAGCTCGTCAGAATAGTCTCTTAAAAAAAATACTCTTGGTTCTGTTTTGAAATCACAGGAATTAACTCTCACTCTCAGAGTCCTCATTTAACACAGACCATTTTGGTAAACTTTAAATATCAATCCTCGTGTGTAACGCCGAGTGTTTGGTCTCGTGTTCCCAGTAAGAGCAGTGCATCATCGAGAGCTCCGCGGGCTGGCGGGAGCAGGCGAACTGAAGGCCCGCTCCGTTGCTGCTGGAGACCGGCGGTGGTGCCGCGGTGGCCGGGCTCAGCTGCTGGCTATGGTGAGGATGCGCTGGGTGGTGATGGTGACTCATGCCGTTGTAAGAGTTCACCATGCTGGGGAGCGCCATGCTCTGCACTCGGGAGTAGGGGTTATAAGATGACGGGGCTGACAGCCCCTTCATGTTCACTGGACTCACGTTGCCGCTGGCCATCTGACAGGACGTGTAGGACATCGGAGTGGGCGGCTGGCCTAGCGACCACGAGTTGTTCATGAAGCTAGATTGCAGGTACTTGGGTGGGGACAGGTAGCCATAGCCGTCTCCTCCGAACAAGGACTTCCCCGGCTGGAAGTGCGTCGGTGGAGGTCTAAACGGCCGCTTCATCCTGCGGCGCCTCCTGTAGTTCCCCTTCTCAAACATGTCCTCGCAGGCTGGGTCGAGTGTCCAGTAATTCCCCTTCCTCTCCCCGCCGCCCTCCCGCGGAACCTTAATGAAGCATTCGTTGAGACTCAGGTTGTGTCTGATACTGTTCTGCCAACCTTTCTTATTTTTCTCATAGAAGGGAAACTTGCTGATGATATACTGGTAAATACCGGACAGAGTGAGGCGCTTCTCGGAGCTCTCCCGGATGGCCATGGCGATGAGAGCGACATAGGAGTACGGTGGTTTCTGGGACGGGTCCGGCTTCTCCGGGACTTTCTCCTGGACCGGCTCCTCTTTGGGTCGCTCTTTCTCCTTGGTCGTGTTGGTGTCGTGGATCATTAAGGCCATTGCGTCATCCTCCGGGTTTTGGTAAGTGGCCATCATTGCGCACACCAAAACAAAACAAGTCCAGTCCAAATGTCGTAAAGCAAACCTCTTTTAAAAAAGCGCTGGTGCAGTCGATGAGAAAAATGATGTGTTGCAGGACCTCAGGCTGCACCGCGCATTGAAATCTGCCCTCCAAACTGCGCGCAAAGGAAACTTTATTTTGCGGCTCAGTGGGTGACATGCACCAGACCTTCCTCTCTCTTCAACGGGGATTTTTCTAAACTGGTTTCTGATGGAGGCGCAACCCAAGTTGTGGTTTGTGACTCTGTAAGCCCAGCCCTTTCCTCCTTTTTTTTCCCCTCAGGTCCACTGACAGGCTGCTTTTGCACCAGTGCTTTCCATGGAGCGACGTTGTGCGTCCTGATTTGTGCCTATTTTGAGTTCCGCCTCCGGTGGTTACAGTGAATGAAAAAATAATCGGCTCCTCTTCACGTGTTGAAATTTGTTTTTGTCGCACTCGGGGCAAAAAAGGCAAATTATGGACATTTAACATACATTTACATTAAAAATGATAAATACACAGAGAAGTATCAAATGTTAGAAAATGGACATAAATGTAAAGTTTCAACATGTGTCTCTAAATTATTTGAATAAAAGTATCAGACATTTTTGTTTTGCTTTTTTGGACTGCAAAACAAACAATCAGAAAAGATAAAAACAGAAAAACAAAATGGATGGCGGGATTAATTTGTGTTTTTTCGTGCACAGTGTCGCCGAAAATAAAATATTTGGGACAAACAGTTATCCATAGATCAATGCACATCTTTAAATTTACTTCCAATGCTACATTTTAGGGGCACAATATTATTTTCCACGTATATTAAATATAAAATGCAGCACCTTTCCACGTGTATTTTCTTGCCTGGACTTGTTTCAACAAAATTCGCTCCAAACAACTTTAGTCAAACTATAACACAATATTTAACTGAGCTCTGCCAAATGGAGGCTTTTCACCTTCTCATCTGAGACACATTTGCAAACACATCTCTAAGAAAATCTGGACAGACACTGCTGCTGCTTAATTAGTTCACATAGAGAGGGAAGTGCAAGGAGAGGTATACATTTCTTTTGGCCACCCATGAGGGTCCCCTCGGCTTTCTCTGGGAGTGTATTTCCGTGCTCTGGGAGTCAGTGCAGGTGGAGCAGCATTGGCATGTGTGTCATCACCCTGCACCCAGTCTGCAGCCTGTGCCGCAGCAGCTGAACCGCGGTGAGAGCCAACCATCTCTCATCGTGCAATTACTACAGACTCACAGTTTGAAGCGTTACAGCGCGGTGTTATTTCTTGTTTCAATGTCTTTTTCACATGTTTAAGACGGAGAGCATTTCCCGTTAATCTCAACACCACTGTTATGCCTCCGCGTTGTAAGCATTTGGCTTAGTTAAAACATGACATCATTCAATATGTTAATTAATGCGGCTATCAGATGACACAAGAAGAGATAAACCCAGCTATCAAACTGCAGATCAATAACATTATTTAGAAATATTTGAACTACTAACAATAATAATAAATGTTGCGTTAATGCGTGTTTATGCCAGAGGACACCAGCGCGTAAAATGACTATTATATAAGAAAAGACAGTTTGTTAAACTAAAAACTTTCCTTTTTGTTTTTATGAATTTTAGAGTTGGAAAGCGGAATTTACTGTTCCCTTATGAGACACACAAATCAACAGAAATCCAGCCTGTTGAAATGGTTTGCATGTTTGTCAAAAATAAAGCAAAACCACAAAGGAGACCCCCTTAGTCCTGCCCGCAATGTGTTTAGGTTTACCTCATGATCTCGGGAGTTGTTTAGTCTTCTTTTATTGTCTGTGGTCTTCTCCTCTTCCCTGCTCCTGCACTCAAACAAACACAGAAGTAGGAATCACCCAACAAACGCGTGAGGGAAGACCTTTCACAGCGACTCAAAGTAGCCTGTTTATAAGATTATTTTAGCATTTGCCTCAACATCTTCTTAAAGATATGTAAAAACAGGAAGATGAATAGAGAAAGAAAGTCAGATTGTCACCTTATAGCCTCCAATATAGGTGCATTTATTCACATTTTAATCGACAAACTGTCATAAATATATCAGGGCTGGGTGATATGTCCTTAAAATTATATCAAAATATTTTAGGCTATATCTGGATACACAATATATATAATTAAATATCCTCAAAAGCACTTCATTTAGCCTATATTAGAACTGGTAGACAATATTGAACATAACAATATTTCTAACCAAATACCTTCTCTGATGCAAAAAAAAGTTGTAGGGTTGACTATTGTTGCTTTTTTCTTATATTAACAATGGGTTTTTTGTTCAGTAATCACAAACAATATGAATATAATGACTAACTGGGCAAGCATGAAAACAAACAAAAAAAAAGGTCTGGTAATTTGATAAATTTACATCACTGGTCTGTAATGCGGCCTTTAAAACGAGGGGAAAAAACACAATATCACCATATTATATCCAAAATCTAAGATGATATATAGTCTCATATCTCAGTAATGATATAATATCTTTATATTGCCCAGCCATACAATATAACAATAATTCCCCCCAAATGCAAAAAAGTGAAATTAAGCTACTTCTTATTTTGCAGAGGACTCCCTCAGCTGCTCCAAAGACAACATAGTGGTCCCTGTGCGTCACTCTGAAAGCACTACGTCCATAAAAGGCTCTCTGGCTTCAGGCTAAAATGATAAATGCTAAGATGTAGCCAGAAATTTCCATTTAACATACAGTGTCATCTTGTAGGTGAGGTTTTGGGCTGTCAGCGTATTTTCCCAGGCATTTTGTAGTGGCTAAAAATACTTATTTTAATTGCACTTGTCCCCTCTTCACAAAATTGGCCTACATCTTAATATTTTACCTGAGCCAGCAACGAGCACCACCGTACTGTAACTATTTTTGTCTTTATCTCAAACGGTCTGACTCGACAACTGACATTTGTCCCTTCAGGTTTTTGGTCCTGAGATGTTTTGCTTTCCTCCCCCTCCTCCATCACCTGTAACCTCCCCGGGTCTGAGCCGCCGAGGTCACGCGCGTCACGTCACAACAAAGCTGCAAACTTGCATGTCAACAATCCGTAAACAAAACAAGGAGCCTGAAACATGAACTGGTTGAAGGCTTCACTGAGGCGCTGAGGAATGTTAATTTGATAGTGTGGACTGCTTTCGTACAGGCGGGGACTTTAATAGGCTGTAAACAAACATATAAACAAATAGATCAGTAAATGAAATAGAAAAATATCAACATCAAAGGAACGTATGCGCACTGATAGCAACATATAATTTGCTCTGTATGATAGGGTTCATTGATGCAAATTTGCTCTTCACTTTAAGTTTATTTTTGACACTGTTTCTCAAAATTCCGGTAATTTCTAAAATATTTTAACCAGAATCAAATTTGCATGGACACCTTTGCCACTGACATGAAAAGGAAAACCTATGGGTGTAAGTGTATATAAGTGTTTTTATGAGCCATTAGGGCTCCTAGAAAGATTATTTTTTATAGGCCTGTGTGATCAAAATGCAGAAGGGGGAATTATTATTAGGGTGTTATTTATTTATTTCAAAGACTGAGTTAAATCTTAAGAGGTTTGCGTAATCTGTTTAAATGCATTGTTGCTCGCGCTTAAAGTGTATTTTGCATACTGCATGAGATGAGTGAGACAGCGGCATGCTCTCTAGTGACAGAGGAGACTATCACAGACAGAAAATAGTCCGTGTTTCCCACTTAGATAAATATACATTCAGTGAAAGTCTGTCAACACGTCTCCAATAAACGCCCCAATAAAAAGATGCAACAGGCCGCCACACACGCGCACACACATCTGAGAATAAATATATCTGCCTTCACTCCGCATGTATGGACAGTTTATTTACCACAGGCCTCTACATGTGAAACAATATAAGTTTAAGATATAAGACGTGTCTGTGCTTCTGCTGTACAGGCCGCAGTGAACCTCCAAGCGCGTGGTGTGCGTGTGGTACAACAAACTGAAGAGCCATCACAGCGACGGGCCGTAATGTAATTTGAAAGAGTGGAATTCCTGTCCTCGCGCACTTCCTGCCCTCGCAGGTCTGGGACTAGGATGTTTATGATAGCGCGTGCGGGTGGAATGCGCCGGACGGATCCGCCGGGTCAGGTCGGGACCGGAGAATAAGCACCCGGGCTGGAGAGGCTGCAGGCAGGCTCCGGTAGGACGAGGTAGGGCCAGAGATTAAAACTGGAGGGAAGGCTGCAATTTATATTTTTAATTGATCATCATTATTATTATTATTATTGTTGTTATAATTGTTATTATTATTATTAATATTAATGAATAATGCAATGCCATTTCACACAATAAAATAGTGTAATCTCAATCATGACAACAATGGCTTTTTTCTAACAACAACTTGTTGTTATAGCAACAAAAACAGCTGTGATCAAATGCATTTTACTAACAAATTATTGTTATTATTATTATTATTATTATTATTATTATAATTATTAATATAATTAATGTTATTATTATATTTTATTTTGTCTTAGGCTATTTTATTTTATATTATTTTTTTTATATTTATTTTTTTTCCTTAGTACTACCACTATACTAGTAGACAACAAATTCTCTAATTATGATTATTATTAAAAAAACACTGTTTGGGGGGTGTGCACATTCCCCACTTTCATAATAATAATAATAATAATAATAATAATAATGTGATGTAAAACCAGCCATGTAAATTTATAGAATAATCCAAAGAAGATTTTTTAAAAAGAGACAAGTCTTTCTTACCAATACATACACGCACCCTCTAATATAGCCGAATAATAGTATAGTTTTAATAGTATAGTTTTTTGAGACCAAAGGTATTGATTATTTTATTCTAGAATTAAATGTTAATCAACTAAATGTTATCCTCTCAGCAGGAGGTATTGCAAAACATTATTTTGGATCATGAATTGGAACCCCGGTCAATAGCTTCATGAAAGGATTATGGTCATCAAACAATGTATAATATCAATACATTTATAAAATTAAGGTGGCAAATATTGTGTGGAGAATTCAGTAATGCTCTTGAAATGTAATTTCCCTCATATGTGTGCTACACTTGTAGCATGAAGACAGGCAGACATGATTACAAATCGATCACATGTGAAAGTGTTCAAATAATTGCTCAGTCGTTTCATCTTGAGTCCATTAGCATTGGTGCATCTGC